AGTACTGCATTACAACATACTACATGACACAAAAAAAATTTGTTTATTTGTGTTTTTAATATTTACTTTTAAATTAAGAAATTAAATAATATCTAGTACTAAAATTTGAATTATAATCTGCAGTCTGATACCAAACTTTTTTGACATAAATTCATAAATAGTAGTTTAATAAAATTTTGAATGCATGTCAACAAACTAGATAACATGGCCTTTCACCGTGACCCATCTCGAAAGGGTTAACGTTGAATGTTTAAGGAGTGACTTGTTTAGGTATTGTTTCGAGAGCTCCAAGACCTTGTTTTTGTTGTGAATTCTGGCAACTCTGTTGGAAACTAACTTTTGGATTAATCAACCAGTTGAGTGAGTAACTTGGAAAATCTACTGTCTTGACAGAGAATTTACTGGCCTAACCAATAAGATTGGTTAACTGTCTTGACAGAGATTTTACTGGCCTAACAAATAAGATTGGTTAACTGTCTTGACAGAGATTTTACTGGCTTAACAAATAAGATAGGTTAACTGTCTTGACAGATATTTTACTGGCCTAAACAATAAGATTGGTTAACTGTCTTGACAGAGATTTTACTGGCCTAAACAATAAGATTGGTTAAGAGTGCACTGTGCCTAATTTGCAATGTCAGTTTCAACTGAATTTAGTGGATTTTTGTAACAAACCAAGATGAATGTCAAGTTCTTAGCATAGTTTTGAATGTGTAGATGTACAGACATTTTTGAGTAGCTATAAAATGCTGATGTCTTTCATGAACTAAGTATTTACTGAAAAGATTAATAATTCCCTGGCTAGTAGTTTCTACACTTTACTAGTTTAATTATTAAGGAAGTTGTTTTAATCAAAATGTGATTCAGAACCAGAACTAACATGCACTCTGTCAAACCATGTCTACTTTCATTTTTGCTTATTCTGTGTTTTAGTATCAGAAAAACGTGTTACTTCAAATTTATAATGGTTTTACATATTTGACATAATACATCATAGAGAACAAACAGAAAATATGAGTTCATTTTTACATTACTTGAAGAATAAAGTGTTTGAAACCAAAGTTGTTAGGATTATTTGAATTTATTTTGCTAGCACTAAACATTAAAAGAACAATATTATAAGGGCAGAATGTGACAAACTGATGTCTGTGGTTTAAGTTGCAAAGCTTCGAGTGATTCTATGATTTCATCAAAACCTAATGTACATTTTTTCAGTTTTTACATTGGTGAGGATGCTTCTCCCTTTCTTGTTTATTAAGCATGTTTGATTAAGGAAAATGGCAGCACACTTTTTTCTGTGAACTTAGTATTCTGTTTTCTAGGACTGAATTTTGCATGACCTCGAATAGACAATGATATCAGTGCTTTAACCATTTTGTAGGCAAGTTGTTTTATGAGAGCATCACTAAAGTTAAGACAACTGTAAACAAAAGGATCAAGATATCTCTAAAGGAACAAATTTCTGAATAAAAGACATCAATCAGATACATTCTACACAGGCAACAAAATTTTGCTGTTGCTGGCAAACGTCAGGAAGCAAATTTCTCCAGTCAGTTAGGGAGCAGTTGTTGCTTTTGCATATAATAAATTGGTGGGTCTTGTTATTTGAATGCAATTAAATAGGTCTCCAAATGCTTGATTTGTCACTCGCAAATGAATATGTTTTTGAATTCTTCATAAGTATGTAATATATCGATCCAAAAGGACTATCTGCCTATCTGAGACCAAAACCTGCACTGAGCATGTATTACCTTCAGCCTTGTTTGTTTGTTTGTGTGTATATATTTACCTAATTTTTTTTACATTTTTGAATAAAGTTTGCAGATACATGTTAAATCTGATGTACAATGTTGTTCTATGTATTTCTACCAATAAGGGGTGTGTTACAGTTTATGGGGGGTAACTTTTGTTATAATTGTTGTACATTTTTGATTTGTTTTTTTTAGACCATGCGATTTAGATTTTTAGTGAAGGCACTAAAATACAACTGCAGTATGCTTTTTATTGTTTTTATGTTAACATTATTATTTACAAAAAATATATAACTGATATTTTTGAATTAGTTTGCACAATTGAATAAGGAAATGCATAAAAGTTAGGCTATAGTATATTAAACACATATTATGTACAATGCACTTGGACAAAATTTGGTAAGTTAGTAAATATAATTTCTCTTTAGAATAAATGTTTTGTTACTTTTTGTTACCACTCTCTTATTAGCATGAGATTAAGATTAGAATTGAATGAACATTTTAGAATTTAGTTTGAGAAATTTCTAAGGTTAGATTCTTTGTATTAATGTTTTTTTTTGTTATGTTTTTCAGCTTTGACAGTGAAGGTGATGTTAGTTTAGTGCGTACATGCATAAGAAGTCCAGTTAGAGCTCATGCAAAAGAAGTTCTTGTTAGCCTCTTTGTTTCATCAAGGTAGGAGAGTTAACCCTTTGTAATATTTGTAGAAATACTGGAACATTTGATTGATTGATTTCCTGATCAAATATAACAAGTCTTTTCAAAATATTCAGAAATAATTTTTATTATTCACACAAATGTCATAATATAACTCTATTACTTTTTTGAGTATATTATTCCTTAAATGCTAATGTCTATTACAATTATTTACCATCTAGACATCTTATAGCAGATTTGGGAGAGGGTATTAAAAATTGATAATTATAATAATTTTCAAGGTTGAAATGGTAATTTTATACCACAGTATAATTGATGATGTTTATTCATTTATTATATTTTTTTTACTTACCAAGAGAGGGTCTTAATTTTCCATAAAATGTTTTGCAACTTTTTAATATCTAATATGTTTAAGATAATATGACTGTCAGTTCTTTCTTTAAATAGCCTTTAATGATATGAATTAATATAAATGATTATGAGAAAATGCTAGAAATGTTATATGTTAAATGTCAGCCTGAAATGTCATTATATTCAGTAATAGTTGATATGGATTAATGTGTAAATATATCTTCTTCATTGCTGTTAAATAGCCTAACTAGGAAGTTTTAATAAGAGTAAAATTGTACAGCAAATTGGGTGTTAGAATAATAATAAAACCTACAGTAGTAAAAGCTTGAAGTATTTAAGAATTAGCCAGGACATAAAGTTACATTTATGATACTCTTAATAGAAATTTATGATGCTGTACTCACTGTGCTCAGTAGGATTATATTTTATAAGTAGTAGTAACTGAAATAAGTTTACTTAGAAATAATTAAATAGATATGTGCATACATATTATTTAGGTCTTGTATACCTACTGTGCCTTCATTAGAAAGTCATCAGAACTATGACATGATAGACTCCATTCTTCAGATACAACCTTCCTTAAACTATGACTCACAAGTTATGTGGAATAGAAGTTTGAAATCCACAAATTATTCTATGACTCTGAAAGCCCCAAATAGTAGTATACAGAAGAGGCCACAAGATCCAGTCTCCCAGGGTACTAGCTCTAAAGAAACTTCACCTCAAGGATATTCTAAGTGTAGAAGTACAAATCAAGAAGACTTCAGTGGTTCTTCTAAAGAAAATGTTTCTATATATAATAGATGTATGCCATCCAGGACTTCGTACTCAAAAGAAAATGTTTCTAATTCTAATGTTTCCAGACCTACAGATGGTCATTGTAGTTCATCTCATAGCCATCATCATCATAAAGGGAAACATAAACATTCACACAGAAAAGAAAAAAAACACCCTCATATAGAGGAAGATGTTGATATATATAGTGACATTGAGTCCTTAGGGGAAAGTGCTTTGTTAATAGAAGAAGACAATACTAATAATCACTTTTCTTTGCCAAGCAGTACTACTTATCATTCTAATTCACTGATTGGTAATCTTGAAGAAGGTAGTGACTCTAGTGAAAATGAGTTGGTAATAGATGAAGATGCCAAAGTTGGAGAAGAACAGAGTTATAGTGATGGTGAAAATGCCCACACAAACCACTCTGCTGAAATTGTTTTGTCAGGGAAATTTAAAGATGAGGAGACTATAGAAGAAAATTTATTGCAAGAAATTGTTGAAAAAGATAATGTTGAAGAATTTTCTGAAAGTTTTCCCTGTAGTAGTTCTTCTAATGATAATTGTAAGGAAAGTGAAAATCAAGAAGCTTTTACAAACTATAAAAAGGAACAGTATAAAGAACAAAACTACAAAGAGTGTAAACAAGATAAAAAAGGTTATGTATTAGAACAAAATTTATACATTTGTAAAGTGGGCAAGAGAGAGACAGGCTATGATGCTGAACAAATATCATGTCTGGATGCAATTGAAGAACCTGTTGATGTGAATATAAATGAAGATGGCAGAGATGCTGAGTATCAGTTTCAAAGTGAAGAAAAGGAAGATATTGAAGTAGAAGTAGGAGCAGACATAGATCAAACTGAAGATGAGGAAGATTGTGAACAACAACAAGATGAAGAAACTGGAGACATTGGTGAAACTAAAATCATAGAATTTGATGATATTCAAGAACAAAACTATGATGAAGAAGATGCGATATACATAAATGGAGCTGAAAACATGGAACATAATGGTGTCCAAAAACAGAGAGACAAGGAAGAAAGACTTAGAGAAATAGATGAAACTGAATACACTGAAAGTGATGATTTTCAAGAATATGTGGATGCCAAAGGAAGAGCCACAAATTTAGATGAAATTGAAAATGTAATGGATGATGATGTTGAAGATCATGAAGATGAAAATGAAGAAAGGATCACGAATATAAATACAGAGGATAACACTATTCAAGAATACAATATTGAGAATGAAAATAACCACAAGGAATCAGAATTATATATAGAAAATATGGAAGGTAGTGACATGAGAGAAACTAGTTCACAGGGACTTGGAGAAATGATGTGGAATAATGAGAAGAAATTGCACGGAACTAGAATTAGTCTCAGTACTGAAGAACCTCAAAAAACTCCTTTAATTTTGGAAAAGCAGAAAGGAGAAAAGGATGAAGTAATCAGAGAAGCCAAAGAGAACATGGTAAAACAGAAAACTTGTATGCATTACGAACAACAACAATTAGGGGACTCGAATAATAATGTGGAATTTTCTCATGAGATAAGTTTAAATTTAGCAGAAGTAGAAGATATTTCTGAAGATGAAAATGAAATGGTTTGCCAAGGAGATAGTGTCAATAATGAAGAGAATAGAAACATAGATATTTCTTGTAATGAGCAAGATGATGTTGAGAAGAAGGTGGCTTTACTTTTTGCAGATGAAGAAAAATGTAATATAGTTGGTAATAAAAAACAGGAATCCAAGTCAAGGAAAAAAAATAAGAATAGTTACAAGGCAAGTCAAACTAATATAGACGATGAAGCAGAAGAAGGTGAAATAGTTGAAAATGTTCATTCCAAGAAGCGCAGGGAAAGAGAGAGATACAGTTCACGGCACAATCTACAAGAAGAATATGATGATTTAACGGACCTTACACCTCGAATCAATATATCAGACCTCCCAAGAATTCCCAAAATAAAAAAAGTTGAAGTGGAGCCATCTTTAGAGCAGACCATAGGAACTAAACGAACTAGTGTATTAGAAAGAATAGATGCTGGATCTTCTGAAATCAGTTGGAAAAAACTATCAAAGAACACTAAAGATAGAAATTACAGAGATAGAAAACCAAAAGATGAAAATATACTCTATCAGCGTGAAATAAAAGTAAATAAAGAAAGAAACAAATCCTATAAGCCAGATTCTGACCGATGGAAACAGGATGGTTGGAGTAGAGAAGGAAATAAATATCAGAAGTCAGATTTAGATCAGTGGAAACAAGACAGTAGAAGCAAAGAAGGAACTAAAAACCAGCAAACAGATTTTACTCATCTCAGAAATGATGACAAATACAAAAGAATAGGGGGGAGTAATAGAGGTAAAGACCAGTTGGAAGTTGACTTGTGGAAAGAAAAAAATAATGTAGAAATACCTGATCATAATCGATTTTCTAATGAAAAAAAAGTTGAAAGAGAAATGGAAAAATCTTTTGACAAAAGTAATGAAAGACGAGAGTGGAGAGTAGATAAGAGCAATGAAAAAAAATGTGAAAAGCGTGAAAAGAACTATAGAGATAGATATAAAAACAAAGATTATAAAGAAGAAAGTAATAGGAGTAATGAAAAAGAAAAGTACAGGAGGCATTCTCATGAGCATTCATCTGAAAAAACCCGAGAACATGACAGCCGAAAGGAAGAAAAAACAAAGATCTGTGGTGAAAAGTATGAAGGACACAAAGAGAAATTTGATAAACAGGAAAAAAAACATCATGATAAAAATCGTCATCATGACCATAAGAAGAAGAAAGATCGAGGGTCAAGTCCTTATTCTGATATAACATCACTTGATGCAAAAGAAATCTATGCCAAAGGTGATAGTATTATTATCAACGTTAATTTTAATAGAAATACACTGAAAGATTCTGATGTAGCTGGACACATTGATGATGCAGCAGAAAACCAGATTGACAACAGATTCCAGAAATCTAAAAGTCTAACTGGAGATAGCACTAATAAAAAAAATAGAAGTTACGGAGATTTTCTAGATTTAAATAGTGAATGTCCTTCTTTGAAAAGTAACATTTTTGAAGAAAGCTTTGCCAAACAAAGTTCAGAAAATGTTGACTATGGTGAGGCCATCTCTGAACATACACCAAAAGAAATTCCTCTTGATGAAGACTTTCAGTTGGAGAAAGATACCATAATGAGCGATGATGGTCTGAAATTAGAAAATTTTGATTTTGAGAATAGAAATTATTCTGAGAGTGAAGCTGAAGATGATTTTCGTAAAAAACTGGAACGAAATGTTGATTCAAAAGTAGAATCCAATGGCAAGGAAGAAATTTATTTGCCCAGTTATAGTGAACCTAAAAGTCATTTCAAAAATAAAAATCCATCAAGAAGACATTTTCCACGATCTCCATCTCCACCATCCCCTCCAGACAATGATAGCTATGATCCATGTGAACCAACCTGTAGCCCAAATTTACGACAAGATGTTTTCTGTCAAGCAACATCTACTGACATATCTTCAGTGCATGAAGGAAGACCAGTGCCACCACCTTCACCAGAACTGCCACCACTTCCAACTGAACCAGAACCAGAAGAACCACCATTACCAGATGTTCCTTTGACTTGTTATAGCTTCCATGTCTCAGAGCCAAACATGTCAGTCAGCACTGCTGTATCGACTGCTCTCTCAGCATTAGCTACTATGAGTCATGAGATATCTCATTCTTCTGCATTTGGTGGGCCTCAGAGAACAACACTAATCTTACCAAACCTTAGAGTTCCTCCGCCAAACTTTGTGCACCAGTCATATCAGAGAAACCTTTCTTCAGGCAATAGAACTCACTTGAATTCTGGTAGTCTGCCATTACCAAATCAAAATCTTGGTGCAGCACCTCCACATGTGATGTTTACAGCTTCAAATTTACAGAATGTTATTCAAAGGGGAATGTTTTCAACACAACCTCCTCCTAGTTTGTCATCAGTGAATATGCCAGGTTCTTCTCAGCTTGGTGCACTTTTACCACCTTCAACTGCTTTAGGTGCTTTTTCTCAAATAAGGTCACAAAATTTGGGAACAGAAGCTTCCTCATCTTCCAATCCAATATTGACAAACATTCCACCTCTCAGTATAGGATTACCACCTCAGATGTCTCTGCCCAACCTCAGACAACCACCACCTCCACTTCCTGCTTCTGTTCAAAGTCAGATATTTCCACTGAGTCAAACTGCTGTGTCCATGGCTCAGACAACACCTTTGTCATCAGTTAATAGTACAGTGACACGTAATGTGTCAAGTTCTCAGGTTATTACAAAGCAACAACTCCAAGAAGATGTAACAGATGTTGTAGACATGGATGTTGAATCTCCATATTCTCCTTATTCACCTGGTGATTCTCTAGTATTGGAAATTGAAGAAGAGGAAAAACCAGCTGTCTCAGTTTTTCAAAAGAATTATGTTTCTGTGCCAAAAGACTCGTTTGATTCATTACTTTCTTCGGAAAAATTAACTTCTTCTCTTAATAAAAGAAACTATGATTCATCAAAAGACAAATCCAGGAAACCAAAGAATGGGGATCATCATAATTTCCAGTCAGTTGATTCACGGCTATCATCAGAAAGCTATTCCAAGCAAGAAACTTCTGGACACAGTTCTAAAAAGCAGAAAATAGATTCAAGACCAGAAGCCAACAAGCATAAACACTTAATAAGATTTGAAGTTATTGATAGATCTAAACTGAGTGCCTCTGTGGCTAGTAAAAAACAAACAGAGAAAAAAGGAGTTTTGATAAAAATGGATGATTCCCAATTGAAAATTTTAGATGAATTACCAAGTTCAGCAATGGAAATGCAAGTTAAAGAAAAGGTAGGCTAGAATTGCTAAAATCAAAACTTTTATGCCAAAATATTTATGTTATAGAATAACTTCTTGTTATAGATTTTTTTCTAAACATCTTTGCATTGATTTTGGTTCAATTTTATGCACCCTTTTTACCATAGTAAATGCTGGATATACAAGACTGTTCAGTTTCAGAGTTATTATTTAGTTTATTTCATGATCTGATATTTAATGATTATTTAGTTTTATAACAAGAGTGGTAAAAGTTAATTAATTTAAAGGTAATAGTTATGACAAATTTCATTACATAATTCTTTATGAGTCGTATGTTGTTTGTGCAGTTTAATTGTTGTACTAAGCTTTTGTAATATTGTTGACGTCATCTTACTTGAAGTTTCTAAGTTTTCTCATTATGTTTAATATTGTTGTTACTAGAGGGCTACATATTTCTAGATTTTTCTGTTGTGTGTTATAAATACATGCAGATACAGAGAGTTAATTAAGTTAGTAAAAGTGAAGTTAGTCTACGTGGTTGTCAGTCTAGCCATAACAGGTGATTTCTGCACCCTCTTTTCAACTAATAAGCCATGTTTGTAATATTTGCCTATTTCTCTTGTGGCTTATGAATATTTACCGTCTTTATTGGGAGAAAATATTTTGTCTGATTACTTGGTCCTTCCACCTTTGCCAGACATTGCTGTGCATGTAAGGAGATTGTCAGATCAATTGACAGATGGTGGTGCCATGTCTTGTCCTCCATGTTTATTGGATCAGTATTTCTTGGCTTTTCATCACCTGGAGAACCATTATTTGGATTTTCAGAGGTTAGACCTTCTTCTTCCTATTTGGGGCTCTAGACAAGATGCCACTGTTCATCTTAACTAATCTCAGTTTGTCAGAATTCCTTTGTCATTTATAACAGCTTTGCATTTCTTATCATCTTTGCATCTGTTGTCTGAGGCTTATTATAGATCCCATGCTCAAATTTTGGAGGATCTTAGTCATTTATTGCCTTTCACTTTGGTTGGGTTATCGGCTTCTGCTCTCTCCTTGGTATCTTGGCTGGTTTGTTGCTTGGATCTTTTGGAGAGAGATGTTTTACTGGAAGGAGTTTGCATTCCTGTGTTGGCTTTTAGAGATCTCAGAGAAGTTCCTTTCCTTAGACAGTCTATATTTGCGAGAATTTCACTCTCTATGGAATCTTGAGTAGATGTGGCCCATCTAAATGCTTCACTTTTTACACTTGCTTTTTGACTGTCCGAAAGTTCTTCTACAGGTCAGTTTACTGCATTTCTTGTTTGAGTTTCCAGACCTCCTGCTTGAGCACCAGGATTCATTGGAACATAAGGGAATTTGGACCTTACCAGAAGGGATCCTTCAGAGTGGAGCACAGATTTCTGTGTTGGTGACTACTTTATGGGGTCTCATCTTAGAGGGTTCGGGTCAATATGGGAGACATTCACTGCAGATCAGTGGGTCATTAAAGTTTTCAGGAGCAGATAGGTAATTCAGTTCACGTCTCTGTCTCCTTTGTCTCTTATGCTAGTTGGCTTTCCACTCCCTGAGGACCCTCTTACATCCAACTTTCAAGCCCAAACCATCCAGGATCTTCTGCACAAAGAGGCCAAAGACCACGTTACCTCCTCTCTCTGTTTTTTTTTTTTCTTGTCTGTTGGTAGTACTGAAAAAAATGGATGATTGCTGACATGTCATTGACCTTTCTTGTCTCAAACACTTCCTCCAGCCTCCCTGGTTTACAATGGAGTCATTTCCTTTCCTTTGGTGGCTCTTTTCACCTGACTATGGATGACCAAATTTGGCCTACTGTCATATCTGATCGTCGAGTCTTCAAGATGTTATCTCTGTGCACAACAACCAGGTTTTTCAGTTTCATGCTCTACCATTTGGCCTCACGTCTGCTACATAAATTTTTTGCTGGATAGTCAGAGCTTTTTCATGTCATCTTCACCCCGTCAGCATTCACACTCACCATTACATGGATGACTGGCTTCTTCTTGCCCCTTCCTGCCATTTGGCAGAACTGTACACTCAAAATTTATCAGAAGCTGCGAGAGCTGGGTTTCTTATAAATAAAAAGGAGGAGTTTATTCTTATTCTCACACAGTGCCTCATCCATTTATGGGTGTTTTTTAGTTCCAGACTAAGCCAGGCCTAATCTTCTCCTCTCTGCCTTCAGGCCATGGAATGGGCAGTTCTTCAAATACAGATGTCTTCTCCACCAGCATGCACAGTTCTATATCTTTTGGGGATGTGGGCATTCTTGGAATCAATCATTCCTTTCGGTCAAGTCCAGTTGAGGGCCCTTCAGTGGTCAATTACAAGACCAGTGGAACATTTGCACAGATGTGCTGGATTGTCTAGTGAGATGGTGGGATTCCAGTTTGCTGGATCACAGCTGGTGATTGAACAGGGACAACACAACTGTAGGTGTCCCTCTATCCTTTCCATGGCCAGAAATACATCTGTTCATAAATGCTTCTCTTCCAGGCTGGGGTGCTTGTATATAAAATATGGAATTTAAGAGAATTTCGACAGTAGAGGAAGCTTCTCTCAACATCAGTCTTTTAGAACTTTTAACAGTTCAATGAGCTATGCCTCAGGGTCTCAGATTGTTGCAAGGGAAGGTGGTAATGCTTCATTTGCACAATACCACAGTAGTCTCAAACATTTCAAAGCAAGGTGGCACTCTCTGCAGATCTCTTTGTTTTTGAACAGTGGATTTTCTTCTTTGGGCACGCAAACACCAGATTGATCTCCTTGCTTATCATGTTCCAAGGGTAATGAATCTAGTGGCTGAACTATTATCTCATCCCAACAGACCTCTTCCTATAGAATGAATGCTTCATCCTAAAGTTTTTGTTGGATCTGCTCTTGTCTAGGGACACCATAGATCAATGCTTTTGCTACACATTGGAATGCTTAGCTCCCGTCCTTCTCCAATACCTTAATCTCTGGCTTTGGTAGTAGATGCTCTCAGCCAGGATTGGATCGGTCTTGATCTTTATGCATTCCATCCAGTTCTTTTGCTTTACAAGATTTTGGCACAGATTCATTCAATGTCTTGTTGAATTCCTCTGGTGGCACCATATTGGCCAGATCAACCCTGGTTTCCACTCCTTCAGTATGTTCAGGAGTGTCAACTTCTTCCCCTTCATCCCTGGCAATCCCTCTTACTTCAGCCTCAGTTGGACATTTTTCATCCAGTAGTCGGAGTGTTTCGACTTCACACCTGGCTTTTATGTCGTCCATAGTTTGACATCAGGGATTGACATCTCAAATGGCTTCTTTATTAACACGTTCCATTCAACATTCTTCTTTGGAAGTTTATCAAAGGAAATGGTTTACTTATTGTCAATGTTGTCTCAGACATGGGTTTAACCCTTTACATCCCACTGTGCTACATGTCTCTCAGTTTTTGACATGGCTGTTTGACAAATGTTTGGGGCCTTCGTCTGTTGCCTTATCAGCAACTTTTTGTTTTTTTCTAAGAAAAGAAAAGTTTTCGAATCACCGGTTTTGTCATTACTTATGAAATCATTTTGTGTTATCTCTCCTCATTGTCCTTTCCAGGTTCACAATTAAGATATCACAGTGGTTCTCCATGCATTATTACATCCACCTTTTGAACTTTTGGGGTAATGTTCACTATATCATCTTTCCCTTAAAACATGTTTTCTTATGTTATTGGCTAGAGAGCATTGACATTCAGATGTGTTTGTGCTTCATGTTCACAGGACACTGTACAATTCCAACTATGTTCTGTTGTATCCAGATAGGTTCTTTCTACCTAACACTGCAGCAGCTATGGAAGGAGATAAAGCTTTCTCTCTTATTCATTTTCCCTCCATGTCCCATTTATATGACCGTTCAGATCCAGGTTGTCTTTTATTCCCTGTTTGGACTCTCTGAAGCGTTTCGGGGCTCAAGTTACTTGTTACCATTGGGATCCTTTGGTATCACACGACTTACCCCCCCCTCCCCCATCATTTTGACAAGTTGGATTTGTCAATTAGTTTGGACAGCTTACTCTGTTCTTTTATTGGAGTAGAGGAGAGACTTCTTTGGGTCTCATATCATCAGGTTTGACATGATTTAGCAGTCTCCTCCTTGGATGGGTTTTGGCTACCCCCCATGACTATTCTATATACCCCAGCCCAATTGTGACAAAGATGAGTAACTTCATTTCTCTTCTGCATCTTTTCAGGGACCTTCTTGTCATTCTCATTTGGATCCCACTCAGTGGCGAGTGTTGCTCAGGTATGCTCTTACAAATCTGCACTATCTACCAGTTGACTAATAACAAAATTTCTGGTAACAATAAGCTCTGTGGAGATGGCGTGTTCCATAAGACCACATTATCTCTTTCTGGGTGGTGAACAATTGTTCTGTATCAAATATAATATACAGTACTGGACTGCCACTCATGGACTATCATGAGTAAAGCATAAAGGGACTTTACCCATCCCTGCTAATCCATGGATTGAAAAAATTGGGGTTAGTTTGCTTTTTAAAATGGGGAACGTGATCCACCTGTTGCACTGTCTCTGAAGCATCATTCCTCAAGACTCCCCAATGTGAGTCTCCCCTTCTTTTCTAGTGGAGCAAGGGAAAACTTATCACTCTCAGTTTCCAGTTTCTGGAGTGATGGACAGAGGTATGTTTCTTGTGTGCGATGTTTGTACTCTTTATTCCATTCAACGAGAAGAGAGAGAAGCTGGATACCCTCTCTCCCTTAACCTTGGATGGTTTTCCTAGATGTCTAGCGGAGAGCCATGATAGCCTCCTCGTAATTCAGGTTCAGAGATGACATGGTCCTTGTTTTTGGTCAATCTGTTACCTTCCTTGATCATTGAAGAGGGTCATAAACTCCTCGTAATTCTGCATGTGGAGTGCCACATCCGTGAGCCATTGGTTTAACTTTGTTTGTTCCACATCCTCCTCATAATTCCATGGGCAAGAGGTGTTGCCTTGCTTCCCAGGTTGAAGAGTTAGGATTACATATCGTAATCTCTGGCCAGATGATGTCTGTTTCTTCAGATTGAGTGAGGCGGGAATTGGCTCGATAGTTCCAAGTTCGGTTTGTTGCATTTTGTGCTTCTTCAGGTTGGAGTGAGGGTTTGTCCACTTTGGTGTTGCCAAGTTACAAAGTTATTTTTTGAAGATAAAAAGGGATAACACTACTTCAGAATCTATTTACAGAGATTTGCATCCTGGTTTTCTTTATGGATTACCAAAAAAAAAGCAAAGTACTGATACTTTAGTTGCAAATTAAGTAATTGCTTAAACACCTTAAAGGATTTTTATTCTTCAAAATATACAGTACATGACAGTTTTAGTTTTTCTAAACAATGTTGAGAAACCAGCCTTGCTGGATTTGTTTTCATGGCAAGCTTTTAGGTTGAATCCTTATTTAGAAATATTCCCCTAGAAGAAACAATTGACAAAGGAACAAACTTAATATATATCAAGATAACAGTCTTATCCACGGTATGACAAGACGTATCTCAAAAAACTACCAGAATGTGGTATAAAGGATTTCAGCTTTATTTTTAGTAATGATATCTGTGATCAGGTAGATGGTCTGGCCATAGCTCCTGCCTTGCCTCAACACAAGCAAACTTTCTATATCAATATGGAAGGCACTGGTTGGCCAGTTGTCTAAATTAATTCAAACTGTTATACTAAACAAGACATGTTGATGATACTTTTGTTTTATTTCACAATAAGGATCAGGCTTATTCATTTTTAACATATCTAAACAAACATCTTAGCATTACGTTTTCTTTTTAAGTTGAGAATAATTTCAAACTCATTTCTAGACACAACATTTCACCATAATATTTTAAATGTAGCCTTATCAATATAGTAACAATTCAAGCATATAAAATTTGTAGTAATTTAACTTACTTTAAAAATGAGTTATCCAGCATCAGTCAGGTTCTTTAAAAAGAATAGTTTTCCCAGTACTGTTATTGAATAAGATGGTAAAAAAAGTGCTAAGGAAACTAAATAACATTAATAATACTTTCCCGATGCATATCTTTTATAAGCTTTCAAAAACTATTACTCTCCCTTATATAGTTAAAAAATTGCTCTAAAGTTGTGAAATTATTCAATGATGTCTATCCTCAGATATATATATTAGATGTGTGTATAGGAAATTCTTTTGACTCGGAAACTTCTTCTCAATCAACAACAGAAAATAACAAATTACATCAGTGCCTTAGCATTTATAAACATAAATGCCCTCTCTGCTTAAAATGCTACACTGTACACTACCGGATATCTCTGGCAAATAATTGTAGAACATTGTACTTCTTCCATCTATAACAACTAGCATGTTTTTCACCATGCTTTGGAATCTGAGTGTGAACAATTTGATATTCTATTCAAGGTAACATATGAAAGGACATCAAGATTCAAAGAGGCTCTGGCTGTTGAGACTTTCCAACCTGAAATAACCATCACGGAGAATTCATTCAACATGTTAATTAGAATATAGCTTATATTATGTGCTACTGAAGGGTAATTATCATACCACACCTGGCCATGTACAGTAGATGCATAGCTGGATTAAGGACTTTGTTTTACCAATTGGTTCACTGTTGTTAGTACACTAGTTTTCGTCTTTGATTGTTAATGGATATCTAGAGAGATGGGGGACCTTCACTGCTACTTGGGAGGTACTACTGCACCAAATTATGCCTTTTATACATCTGTTACAAAGTTAATTTGTTTAATATATTTCTCATCAATGTACAATTTATGATATCCATGTTCTATTTGTTGTTTTACGGCACTGATATTTGTAATCCACTTACAACTGTTTTAGCTCCAGTAAACATATAATACATAACATGTAAGTATATATGTGTATATATGTATATACACATTGTAATATCTAAAAGAGGTCATTATGTTATGATACTTTTTGGGTGTCTGTGTCCTAATTTGAATTTCTGTCTGTTGAGTTACTATCCTCAGTTTAGACTGTTGTTTTAACTTATCCATGATATGTAGTTTTTAAGGTAATTTTATCTAAAAGGGATAAATTTACCATTAAAAAGTATAGTCTTAGACTTTTTTTATTTCTCAATTACTGTACAGTATTAGCCTTGTGTTAGAATATGCAAAGTTTGTTTGATATGCTAGTTATTGGAATTTTATCTGTTATCAGTAACAAACTATTAGGTGATATATTGTTTTGGTAGAAATATTTTAGGAAAATTGATTAAAAAGTTTATAAAATTTTTTTCAAACTAGTTCCTGAAGAAACTTAATCGGCAGGAACGAGTTGTTGAGGAAGTCAAACTTGCAGTTAAACCATATTACAACAAAAAAGAAATTACCAAGGATGAATACAAAGAAATTCTCAGAAAATCTGTTCCAAAGGTTTGTGTTCTGAAACTGTCTGTAATTGCTGAAGATAAAAGAATATAAAAAGAGTAAAAAAACAACATTAGTAAAATTTCTTCCTTCTTTTGAACTTTTATTAAATCCACATTTGCACTTGTTAATCACTTCTCAATTGGCAGTAGTACTGTACAGCCATGCTTGTTTTTGCTTGCATAATTGTCTACGATTTCCTTTATATTACAGACTTGGTTTTTCTTTACTATGTTTTTGTTATTTCTTTACTTATATGGGCCATTTTGCTAGTGTATTGTAGATCCCACTGTGGCAAGTGGTGCCTGACCAGATTTAATTCTTTTTAAGAATCTACACTGTTTATCCTGTGACTGTGCTCGATGTCACTTATGTTGTAGCTCTTTGTACTGCAGATGCTGCCAGGTGTTTGTTGTGTATCTTCGCTCAATTGTCATCTATGCCGAAACAATTACGTTGCAGGATTAGGTTATGTACACCGTAGAGATGGGGTGTACCATAGGACTGCTAGTAGTTCTTTCTTTAGTGGTCTTTTGCTTCATAAGTATGTTCATCATAGACTGTACACTCATGGACACATATGAGTAAAGCAGAGGGAGATTGCTGCCAATCTAGGATGCTCTGTGATGTTGAGACTCTTCCAACTTTGAACCTGATGTACAGTTACAGATTTCACTGGGTGTTGGTTGATCAACTCCATCGATGTGGTAACTTTGCTTTTCAAAATAGGGTATTCCTCCTACCATGGACTGGAAGAATGATACCCAATGTCATCAGGTTTTGGACTGGTTATGTCATCCCATGTTTGCGGTCTCTCTTCCCACCATCTGCTGGATGTCTGTTCCTGACGGATCTGGTGTTGGTTGAAGCAGGATGCAGCATGTGTATTCCCACTTGTGTACGGCCGGGTATCCTCCTCCTACCATGGACTGGAAGAATGATACCCAATGCCATCAGGTTTTGGACTGGTGATGTCATCCCAGTAGGGCTTTCCTCCTTCCTACTGTCTACTGGATGTTGGTGGATCAGGTATTGGTTGGGTTGAAAATGCATGCAAGTGGATATGGATTTTGGTACAGAAGCTCATCTTCCCCACCAATTCCCATTTTGAAGTGAAGAGGTAGGTGATCCTTTGCCTACCATGGAACTGATGTACAGGGATAATTTTTTCTCTAGACCTCCACCAGTTTGATATGGGATTCTAGCTATTTTGTGAGAGGAGGCAAGATATTGTATCAGAAGTTAACATTTTCCTAAGCTGAAAATGTATTTCCAATAGATACTTATCTACTGTCACATTTTCCACCCAGCCACCTCACTTCTGGTGGTGTAGGTCTTCTGACCAACCTTGAAGTGCAAATGTGGAGAAGGCGCTGGTTACAGTAGGGGTGGGAAGCTGCTGCATAATCATTTACATCTGGATATGCTGAAGCGGGAGGTGGAAGTCTAGTGGTGAGCATTGAAAATTTGTGCCAATAGAGGGCAATACTAATTGAGAAAAGCTATTTTACAGTTTTTGTATTCATTTGCATAATCTCTAGAACCTCCCAAATTTAAACCAGAAGTATTTGTTTAGTGAAGCTATATACTTTATATCTTATTTTCTCTACTCGAGTAACTGTAGTGAAAGCTACAAAATATTAAATAAAATCAAAACTACAATATTTTCTTTGAACGACTGCAGATTGTATCAAATATTTACAATTATTTATCCTAAATGTCCACAGTTTTGCATCTGCTTTCATTTAAGTTTGTTTTATTACACTTTGAGCGATGTCTAACTAGTGTAAAAAAGTAACAAATCACCTGGCAAGAGCCTAGGGTAAACAAACTATTAAGTTACATCACCAGATGACAGCTGCAGGAGAAACTTTTTATTTAGTATTTCTTCATTTAAATTCTCGTATCTAACCTAAAAAATTTCTGGTTTTTAATTTTATTTACTTTTTATAAATTATATAACAATAGATCAAAAATATACACAAAAACTAAGTAATTTAGCATTATAGCCTTGAGGCCTTTTCCACTCAAGTGTGTGGATTAGTAAGCCTATTTTTTCTCACTGTGTTGGTTATTCAAAAATAATTCATCTAGCTTTCAGATATGCTTTTTAAAAGACAAAAGTATATCAGTCACTGGAGTATATTGTTTCAAAATTACTATAATTTATTTGGCTTTTTCACTAACCTACAAATAGGTTAAAAACTTCCTTTGAAGCTCGGAACAACATCTTTAGTCTACACGTTATGATCTTTTAGTGAGTATTGGGTTTGGCTGCTAAAACCAATGTATGTAATTTAGAATATATTATTTCTGTTTGTTATAAAGATGTCCAGTAGCAATGTCAGAGAAGATTATAGACATTTCTTGAAAGATAAAGATATGGGAGGGGCATGGCAATGTGGGTTGAAGAAGTAAAATGATGTTTCAGTAAAGCAAGGAGCTAAGAGGTTAAGATTTTATATACTGTTTTGTCAGTATATATATAGAATGTGTTTCAATTGATTGGACAGTATGAAGTCTTATAAGGGAGGTGAAAAAATCTGTAAATGAGAAGTCACATAATCACCAAGTCATGTGCCTCAGAGAGATAGATACTGAGAAATTATTTAAATACTTCCCTTTGAAATTAAGGAATATAAACTCAGATAATATAAAATTTGAATTATAAACTGTAGTTCGTAAAGCTTTATACTTCATCTATTATTTTCTCTACTCTAACTGCAGCAAAAGCTGAAAAATATGAAATAAGATCAAAAATACATTTTTTTCTTTAGAATGGTTGCAGAATGTAACAGATAATTACAATCATTTATCCTAAACAACTTCTGTAAAAAGGTTCTCATATGCACACTTTTATCTACTTGTATCCATAGGGGTTAATTAAATTTTGAATGTAAATGTATAAGGCCCTAAAATGTACATTTTCATTAACCCATTCCAGAGGGTTCATCTTTCCAACATTTCTGTATGTCTTACATTTATCTAATGATAGATGCCTTTTCAACAACTACAAGTTACTACTTTACCACACCCTAGTCTCAGATCCAACAACTTTGGTAGTAGAAGTGTTGTTCAAGGATTTGCTGGAAGTATTTCTAAGTGCATACAGTTTTTACTTTCAGTCTTGATAAAAGTATCCTATAAGACATGCCAGAAACTTTATCCGATGGAAACATCTGCAGCAGCAGTCTATAACCTTGATTTTTTGTTCATATGCTTCTTATTTAAATCTTTATGCTTGAATTCTTCTGATTCACTAGTTTATGTAGAATGTTTTTTTTGATAGTTTTACAGAAAATTAAAATTATAAGTTTGATCTCAAGTGGTGAAGACAAAGTACTATAGATACTTTGTCATCATCTTGGACTTATAAGCAAATAACAATAAAATTATATCCAAACATACATATAAAAAATACCAGTGAAAATAAACATGCATAATATCAATAGTGTGCACATCAGATTGACAATGTTAAAAAATTTGAAAAAACTAAAAATACATCTTAGTGACTAAAGCTTCAAAACATATTTGTGTCAAAGCCTTCAAAATCCTAGGAACATTCCAATCCAGAAGACAATGCAGAATCTGAGGCTCTGGGTACAAGACATTAACATTTCTATCACAGTGAGTGTAGAGGAGAATGAATTCTATTGGAAGGTAAAAGAAAGGCTATGAAAATGCAGTAATAAGTCCTTGAAGACAAACAAAAGCAAAACAAATCACACAGATGAGGGATTGCAGGCTTCTCTATTTGCATAATCAAGCCTACCAGTCAGAAATCATTACCTTAGATTTGATCTTTTTTTTGAGTGTGTGTGCATGCTTCATGATTGTAGTGCTTTGCTAGATTGCTCACAAGAGCTCCTTTTGATATCATTAACAGATTATCTATGCTTTGTTAGTGACATGAAGGTGTCTGTTCCTTCTCATATGAATAAGTTTAAAGCGTTTAAATGTGTACTTATAATGATCTACCTTTGTATATGTGAGAAATGTTCCAGATGTCTTGTCATAATGTTTGCTACCTTGCTTTGTCATCAGCTTTGGCTGCTAGATTTCCTATGCAGATCATGTGAAACTTTCACTAACCACTACTTCCATCATAACCAAGCTACATCACTTATGTTTTTAATTCCTTTCATAATGATTGGCCATTTACATGTTTATTGGTATTAATCAGTTAAGATTAATTATATGAGACATAGAGTTTTACATTCTTTGTAAGATTTCTGTTGCTTTTTGTTCAAGTTAGTGTTCTTGTAGATCTGTTAAGAAAATTGGGGTTATTAATTAACTCTCGTTTCATAGATGCAACCTAGCATAATATTAAGTGGTATTACAAGCTGATGTATACGTAAACATTTCTAAAATACTTTACTAATTTGCAGTATTATCCAGCAAATATATTGACAGTATAGTTTTCGAAGCAAGATTTGTCTACCATAATCTAATCTGAATCACATGCTTTTTTCATTACTTTGTTGTGTAAACTGTATACCCAAGCATCCATGTTTTCTTAAGCCTCACTTAACTACTTGTATCCATTACAAAGTGTTAATGTATTACAGTTTTGCACTTGAGAAAGACAAATCAACAGACATTTCATTATGTTAGTCACATAATTATCCACGGCTTCCAGGTGCATTCCTAGTGGTTGATAATGTGTTATCGCCAATTCAAGCAATTTCGCAGTCTGATCTTATGGACTATTTGAAAGGTTTGGCAATGTTATTGTCAAAACAGTTATGGGTAGGAAGATTTTCCTCTAATAAATTTCTGTGTTATATGTAAAGGTTTTGTTTTGTGATGACATTATAATATCATGAGTATAAGAATGTATCTTATAGCATCATTAGTATAAAGAGTGTATTTTCACTGCTATTACTAAGGTCTTCCTTATATGTTTTCGAGGAATCTACTCTTTTTTATTGTTGTATTTATATTACTTATATATGTTGGATTTTATCTATCATAGTTTGGGATAGCAGTAGCTTCTTTGTTTTTTCTACCCCTGTATGTCCTTTTTACCTCTAATACTTCTTTAGAGGCTAGAGTTTGATATTATTGCCTGCTCTCAATAGTATTTAACTGTTTTTCAAAGCCCATTGCTCATCTCTTGATGTGATTTGCTAGATTGACTCTAAGGTGAAAACTAGCACGATCCCAGGCCATCTTCCTATTTCAGACATTTCTCGGTATCGACTTGGGTAAATACTGAAGGTCTTTAGACTGACTGGTGTTCTGTTGTGGGGCCAGCAGTAGACTAATTCAGAAATCATTTTCCAAAATATGCTGGTTTAACACTTTAGTGAGAGCTAGCAAGATCACCTTTTGTAGAGGATTGTGTTTTGTTGTTTTCTTATTCTGTTACACAGCCAATGTGCTTCTTTATTATCTAGAGGTGACAGGTGCCTATTCATTTTCTTGGGGAGGAGGATTCTAGCTCAAGGTTATAAGAGGGATACAGTGTCATACCTTAACATTTTATTAGCAAAACATAATTCAAAGAGATACCTAAACTATAACTATATCTGCACTCCTTATCTTACTGCAGTTTTCGATGAAACATAACTATATAAGTTTGTGGATGTACAAAGTTTATGTGAAGAAGAGACAGTACTACATCAAAAGAAATAATTGGCCTCTTGGGTGTGAGAAGCATGGTTAAATTATGCAAAGTTCTCAAACAGAATAATGAATGATTTTACAGCACTATTAAGTGTAAATGGTGGACAGTAAATGAGGGAAGAGGAAGTAAGATCTTATTCTTGGTAGGAACAACAAATATATTTCAAGGTTATTCTGGTCGTATCTCTGAATTAAATTTTTTCACTAAAATATGGTAGCACAAGTAGATTTATAGCTGGAGAGATATGTTACAGCCCTTTTGAAGAGAGTTTATTTTATTTCAGTGTTCTTAATAACGGTAGAAAGAGTTGGGTAGCGAGAGTGTTTAAGAAAGCTACAGTCTATAAAACCACCCTTGAAGTCAGTCTGGAACAAAGCTTTTGAAATAAAGTGAAAGCATGTATCCTCACATTATTAACAAAATAATAAACAAATATTTCAACTTGATAAAGGTTCACATAAACTTACAGCCATACCTCAAAATCAGCAGATGTTTTCATGAGAAAAGTGCCTGAAGAAAGTAG